GAAGATCAGAGTGGCCACTCACACTCCGTGAAAGTGGACAAAGAAAAGAACTTAAAGGCGGTCATAGAAGAAATTACCTTGTGTTGTAACCTGCAGGAAAACGAAGAGGCTACGTTTACTTTCAATGGAAAGCACCTCTGCCCTTCTAAAGACAAAGGAACCTTATCAAGCCTTGGTATTTGCTCTGGATCGAAGCTTGAGTTGACAGTGAGGATTCTTTACATCGAAGTCAAAGTTTTCTTCTCCGATAACTCTTCATCAGCCAGTGTGAAGTGTGATCCCCAAGAAACATTCCGGGATTTGGTTACAAAGGTCTTAAAACGGCGCAACAGAAGAAAGTGCAGGGTTACATTTGTAATAGATGGACGAGAGTTTGATCCGAATCAAGACAAGGGTCCGTTACAAGGTATATTTTATTCCTCAAAGTTAATCTATCACTAATAATAACAGTGTTACTAAATGGCTGCGGCGTAGGGTGAAAGAAAGATACTATTTCGGCAACTTCACCCTATATGATAGTGTAACAAGCAAGATAATATATTCGGTTAACTTTCTCTGATCTAGATTACGGAGTTGCGCATGGCTGTACGCTTCGGGTGACGAGTCATCCCACTTCGGTCGGTGCTAGGCATAGGATCATACTCGACGGGTAAGTGTATAAAATATGGCTGACTGAGTGCATAGAAATGCAAATATCCTGATACTTCGTAAACTTTTTAGCCGCCATAGACAAGAACAAAGACGTACATTTAGAACGCGAGGTGACTTTATTTTGCGAGGACTCAGATTCCTTTTAGCATCTAATTTACAATTGGCGTTCATTGACCTCGACGTGGTCGAACTGGCTTCTTTAATCCCTAAGTAATTTGTTAAGGTGGTGAGAAAGAGGACAAATGACGATTTAGACTACAAAAGGTTTTCATTCAAAAACCACTGAGAAAAGCGGACCTACTAAAATCTCAGCGTTGTAAAGCTAAAACAGGCAATTTGTTAAACTATAAACCTTGATTAGGTTTAGAGCGCGTGCGTGAATTTCTGTCCGAGATAACTTTAATAAGCTTGGATACAACGTAGTAATATTTGCCTTGTCTATTTCTCTTTCAAATAGGCCTCAGGTGTTAGGAGCTCCAGGTAAGCAAAGCACCAATGGGAATGGGTGGAGAAGGTGTAAAAAATCAGGAAATGAACACTTATGCTGCAATCCCTATTCAATTGCTATCCGTCAAGCAAATCTTAAGAATTAGCATTTGGAGACGTCTTTTTCAGGGTACAGAATTTTAGTGATGAATAGTAGGGGGAGGGGAGTGTAGAGTACGTAAGGATTTGGAAAACAATGACGAGTCTTGGTTTTGCGAGATTCGTCCTAATTTCAAACATAAACTTTTTGTCGCTGGGTTTTGCCGACCACCTAACTCCACAATAGACACTTAAAAGGCAACCACGAAGTCCCTTCAACTCGTCAGCAAAGCAACCTTCGACCAGCTTTTGGCCTGTTGGGACGTTAGTCTCCCTACCATCAACTGGAAAACCTGTACTTTCATCAACAATGACTCCATCTGCAGCTATTTTACAAAACTAGTGCGAGACAATTACTTGGGGCAACTGGTTGATTCCCGTACACGGAATACCATCATGTTGGATCTGGCCCTCACTAATGCCCCATTCACACCAAAGCTTAAACATGTTTAAAAGTTGTTTTGTTAAACACAGTTTAATTTTTTTTTCTTCATAGAAACTATTTAACCGAATATTTTTGACTTGAATGTAGCACATTGGAAATGCAAGTTAGCAAGTACTTGAATCCAATGGAAAATCAAGTTTTTCAGTTCTCTGTTTATAATTTTCATTCAATGAAAACCAGTTTAACAAAACATGTTTTGCTGGTGTGAATGGGGTATAAGACAATACCGCTCGCGTATAGCTCTAAAGAACTAATTTTTAGCAAATTTCAAGTAAATCTCTATTACTCGTGTATTTTACAGGAAAAGGACAATTCTTGGCTCACTGTGGAAATGGTGAGAAATTATCCTTTTCTTAAGTGAAGTTTTTTGCTACAAATATTTCGTAACTTGCATGACGAAGCATTTTTTCTATTTTCACTTTTTGTTTTAATTTGCCATTATGAAGAGGATACTTTGGGGGAGTTTTTTTTATCTTAAAAGATCAGGGGGTAGGGGGCAGGGGGTAGCTGTCAACTGGGACTTTGTTCTGTTACTGCCCCCGTCACGAAATCCTTTTTTGTTCACCTCGCCTTTTATACAAAACTAACAAGTTCTAGTCGCTTATTTTAATGGTGTCGTGTTGCAGTTTGGTTGCCTGTTACGACTACGTCTTGTTCTGACTCATATGCAAATTTTTTAGGCGTAACCGGAGTAGCCTCTTGTTTTATTATTTGTCAAATCATCGATCGATGTTCTCCAAATTGCTCGAAAAAGGAAAGGGAAAAATGAAATGCAAGATGCATGTAGTTCAAGTATGTTTAAGACTCGCCGGCGCGTATAATTAGGTATGGGGAGCCGTTTGTCCCAAATATTAATCACTCAACCGTCCATTTTAAGATACACGCATTTGAGTTCTAAATAACTTATCTCGAGTAAATTTCTCTTTTAGTATCTATGGTAGCAGGGTCACACTCTGGAGATGGTGAGTAATTTTCCTTTCCTATAAGTTTAATTTTTTTGCTATTGATAAGATACATGAAAAAATTACTCAGTTCTGATTGGTTAAGATAAATTTAGTTTTCAGGTAATTCAGTGCAGAAGAGGGTTAATTCAGTGCTCAGACACTTTTTTTAATTTGCCATTATGAGGAGGATCATGTGGGGGAGTTAAAGATCGGGAGGGGGGGCAGGGGGCAGCTGTTAATTGGGCTTTGTCTTATTACTGCCCCCTGTCACGAACTTATTTTTTATGGATCTGTAAATTTCGTAACGAATAAATTAAATTAGACGAATGCTAAAGTTTTTCATACATCAAACTCTGGTTACAAGGAGAAGTTTATTCATTAAACTGCCTGATCAGCTTTCCCTTTTCTCATTTTTTTTAACATTGAGAGCTCTCGTTTTGGTTATGTAAACGGTCCATTTATACTAGATAATTACGCCAGTTCTTTGAGTGCTCACTTCACTTTTACACTGCACCACAGCCTCTTACATGTTTAAGTAGGATAAACTGAAAAAATAACTTTCCAACTTGTTAAGTCAACCGTCAATTTAAAGAGACACGCAACTAAGCTCTAAAGAACTAATTTCTAGCAAATTTCAAGTACATCTCTATTACTCGTGTATTTTACAGAAAAAAGACAATTCTGGGGTCACTGTAGAAAAGGTGAGCAATTACCCTTAAGTGAAGTTTTTTGCTACAAATATTTCGTAACTTGCATGAAGAAGCATTTTTCTATTTTCACTTTTTGTTTTGATTTGCCATTATGAGGAGGATAGTTTGAGGGAGTTTTTTTTATCTTAAAAGATCAGGGGGTAGGGGGCAGGGGGTAGCTGTCAACTGGGACTTTGTTCTGTTACTGCCCCCGTCACGAAATTCTTTTTTATTCACCTCGCCTTTTATACAAAACTAACAAGTTCTAGTCGCTTATTTTAATGGTGTTGCAGTTTGGTTGCCTGTTACGACTACGTCTTGTTCTGACTCATATGCAAATTTTTTAGGCGTAACCGGAGTAGCCTCTTGTTTTATTATTTGTCAAATCATCGATCGATGTTCACCAAATTGCTCGAAAAAGGAAATACAATGTCTAAGACTTGCCAGCGCGTATAATTAGGTATGGGGAGCATTTGTGCCAAAGATATCAATCATTAGTGATAAAACTCAATCGTTAGTGCTAAAACATCAATCGTAGCGATAAAACTCAATCATTAGTGCTAGTATTGATTTGTTATCGATTTTACTTTGAGCTAGTCTCTCGCTTGTTAAGCAAAGGTGAACCAATCAAATCCTGCTCACTTTCATGAAATCTGATAAGGGACACTGAAATGAGAATAAAGGTAAAGACTACGAAGACTCATCAACTCTTTTTTTTCACGACTTCAACCTTTTTAAAAATTGAATTAAGTTGGAGTGCCAAAGTTTTCCATACGTCAAACTCTGATTTCAAGGAAAGTTTTGTTCATGAAATTACTCGATCAGCTTTCATTTATCTCATTTTTCTTTTAACATTGAAAGCTCTCTCTTTTGTTAGGTAAACGGTTCACTATAGAGAATTACACTAGTTCCCTGAGTGCTCACTTCCTTTTTGCACCGCACCACAGTCTCTAACATGTTTAGATAGAATAATCTCACAAAAAATAGCTTGCTTGCTTGTCAAGTCAACCACCCATTTTAGGAGACTCGTAGTTGAGCTCTAAAGAACTAATTTCCAGTAAATTTCAAGTACCTCTGTATTACTCTTGTAATTTATAGATGATGAGCTAACCTTTGGTACTTTGAGATGGAGAGAGTAACTTCCTTTTTTTTTAACTTAAGTCTTTTACTACAAATATTTCGTAGCTTGCATGACGATACAATTCATCTAGTTTAAGAGACTCGTCAAACTCTTGCCAAAAACAGCTAAAATTAAGGGTTTCTCGAGCAATTTTTGTTTTGATTTGCCATTATCAGGAGGATAATAATAATTTGTTATCTTAAAAGATTTGGGGGGCAGGGGGGCAGGGGGTAACTGTCAATTGGGACTGTCCTGTTACTGCCCCCCGTCACGAACTTTTTTTTTTTGTATCTGTACATTTTTGTAACGAATAAATTAAATTAGGGTATCAAAGTGTTATACACCTTAGTTTCCGTGCAACTGGTGAGTAATTTTCCCTTTTTCTGTTTTAAGTTTTGTGCTATAAATATTTGGTAGCTTGCATTACTCGGTGTTTTGTCTAATTTAAGAGACCCGTCATACTCCTCCTAAAGAAAGCTAAAATCAGGAGTGTTTCTCTTTTTACTTTGATTTGCCATGATGAGGAAGATCATGATGTAAGGGAGTTTAAGATCGGGGGGGGGGGGCCAGGGGCAGAGGCAGCTGTCAATTGTGACTTTGTCCTATTACTGCCCCCTGTCACGAACTTCTTTTTTATGTATCTGTACATTTTGTAACGAATAAATTAAATTCAATCAGGGTACCCAAAATTTCAATCCGTTGGTTCCTCTGCAAGCGGTGAGTAATTTTCCTCTTTTCTAGTTTAAGTTTTTCGCTAAAAATATAAATATTTCGTAGATGTACATTTTTGTAACGAATAAATTAAATTCAAGTGGAGCGCCAAAGTTTTCCATACGTCAAATTTTGATTTTAAGGAAAATTTCATTCATGAAACTACTCGATCTCATTTTTTTTAACATTGAGAGCTATCGCTTATGTTACGTTAACGGTTCATTAAAAGAGAATTACACTAGTTCCCTGAGTGCTCACTTTACTTTCACGCCGCACCACAGCCTCTTACATGTTTAAGTGGCATAATCTAAAAAACTAGCTTGCTTACTGTCGATTGGGACTTTGCCCTATTACTGCCCCTAGTCACATACTGCTTTTTTTATGTATCTGTATATTTTTGTTACGAATAATTAAATTAAATTAGAGGAATGCTTAAGTTTTCCATGCATCAAATTCTACTTACAAGGAAGATTTTGACTGTAAATATATGAAAATCATATATGTGCACTGGGGTTGAAGAAACGAAAATAGAAGCAATCCTCGCAGATATGAATATACTACTGAACTAGTAGTGAAATTCATTAAACTACTCGATCAGCTTTTCTTCTTCTCATTTTTTTTTTTTAACAATGAGAGCTCTCGCCTTTGTTACGTAGACGGTTATTAATAGAGAATTATACTAGTTCCCCGAGTGCTCACTTCACTTTTACACCGCACCACAGCCTCTTACATGTTTAAGTAGGATAATCTTAAAAAGTAATTTCTAATGAATTTTAAGTACCTCTCTATTACTCTTGTAATTTACAGAAGAGGATCTATCCTGTGGTTTCTCTGGAATTTGTGAGTAATTTTCTTGCTTGCATTGCAAAGCAATTTGTCTAGTTTTAGAGACTCGTCAGGCCCCTTCCCAAAAAGCAGGGGCTGAAAAAGCTAAAATGAAGGGTGTTCCTCAGAACCTTTTTTTTCGTATTTGTCATTGTGATGAGGATCATGTGGAGGAGCTTTGGATCAGCCATTCTCGATCAGATACATACAGTATATGAATTTGATTTCTGTTTGACTTGAAGAATTTAGGCAGGGATGCGAGATTCTAGGTGCATATGATTCGTATCTCAAAGATACGTTTCGTTTCTCGATGTTTCTTTCTCTGATACATATGGGATACTTTAGCTTTCGAATGCCAGATAATCGCTTGATAATCAGATAACTTCCATCAAGTATTTCAACTTTTCAATTTCCCCTCTCATTCTCTAACGTCATACGGTACAATTAACCAAAACCTCTTTACTTACTGAACTTCCCTGTGCAAAAAGGAAGAACATTATTTCCTGTCACCGAAATGTGTCCCTTATAGAAGCAGACAAATCAAAATAAACAGATCTCCCCTTTTCTATTTCACTGCTATGTCTACAGAAAGAATTCATTTATGACTGAGAAATAAGGCCTCAGAGGAAGAGGAGGAATGAGAGAGTCGGACGCGATTACTACGCGTACCATCCCATGTTGGAAACTTTTCAATTTAAAATATGCGTGAATAAGTCATTCTTCAGTTTACTGAATTTAAGTAGACTGTTTCTCTCGATTATTTTGCATTCGAATTTCCCACCTCGATGATACTGTGTGCGATATTTCCCGGCTATGATTCTGAATTATATCATCTTGCTAATGCATCGATCAATTCCAAGCTTCAAAATCTCCCTTCAGGGAACCCAATTGGCCCACCCACGGACCAGATTTAACGGTCAATTTTTATGCAAAAGACAAAATCAGGGTCGTGACTTTCTACTCATTGACCAAGCTTTAAAACTTGTAAACCTTGTAGACCTTTTCTTCTGAGCTGTTCGTCAGTGAAAGTGAACTTTACCTATTAAAAGATAAAACGCGTGTATTCCTTTGGAAAGACTTGACACTTCCTTCTCCACCCTAGCTGGGAAAGGTTCAAATACCCCAACCCCTGGGCAAAGAAAACAGTCAAATACCCGTGGGTTTTTCCTGGTAAAGTGGTTGAAATTTAGAGTTGGTCGGCACATAACCAAGTGTAAGGCCGTACTTGGGATTATTGGCCCGGGGTCTTCGGTGTGGGTTGGCAGTATGGACTGAGCGCAGGGAGGTCTGTATTTTAACAACCGAAGGCCAATATTTCCCTTACGTCAAGAGCAAGCGAGGTTAGTAGGCAGTTTATCTCATGGCACTCAGACCAAGCTTGTTTATTTTATTTTTACTAGCTTTCAAAAAACGCACAGCTTATGACCGTTTCTGTGGTGGAAACGGACCTCAGGGCAAAATCCCAATCAAATAAGAAAACTAGTCTGAACGCTTAGATCTACCCCAGGACTACCTTGCCATATAAATGCAATAATAATACAATCGTAAATATGTCCTAGAATATTTGTATATCTGCCGTCAATGCCCTTTTCCTATTACATGTAAAGTTCACGGTTGTGCCAATGTCGTTGAACCGGATCCAGCATGGAGATCAGGTGGAACAACATTACAAGGCCACAGTACACAACAGTTTACCAAGGCTGAACCAATAAGAGTGGATCATTCACGGAGGGTGGAACTGGTAATCAGGCTTGTAGCCAGGTAATACACCACTTAGCACATTAAAAAAGGGACGGGTCAGTTATTTGTTTTGGAATAGTTAGTCCTTCGTACCTGGCTCGACGATTAGCCGTTGTTATGGAAATGAGCCGTGTATTATCTCCTAGGTACGACTTGAGAGAGTAGCGGTATTCGACCTAAATGTCTCTCGTTATTACAAGGATGTTTAAACAAGAGCTTTTCTAAAGTAACCCCGAGCTGTCACGAGCTAGGTACAAAATTGTTTAGGGAAAATTTTAACACAGTCATTTACGACCAAGGAAAACCGGTTTCTCCAACACCGAGGGCGAGTTGTAGATGTTAGTTCTTTGTTGTTAATATTCTTGTATGTCTCTCTACTTTTTAGAGATGGAGAAAAAGATCTAGAATTTCCCAAAGGTGAATGTAAACCGCTGTCAACTCTGA